TGAAGTTACAAGTTACTGATGAGAAACTAAGCAATTACTGGATAGACAGACAAGACCAGAAAATATTCAGCCAAAAGTGTGTGTGTGTGTACTGTAGAATAATAAAAGATGTACTATAGGCTATAAGTACAGTAACAATAAGTAGCATTAATAATAAGTGATACAGTAACTTAAGTGGCAGTCATTAATAAGTGGTAGATTAATATGTGGCAGTCATTAATAAGTGGTAGATTAATATAAATAGCAGTCATTAGTGGTAGAGTAACCTAAGTGACATTAATAAGTGGTACAGGTAGTTCTGCTATAACGCGATAATTGTGTTCTTGTAAAATATCGTGTTATAGAAAATCGCGTAATAGAAATAACAGGGCTTATGGAGAAAATAGGGTTAGGTGCAGATTGCTCGAAATCGAAAAAATTTAGTAGTTAGCCTAACACAAAGGATAGCACAGTCTAAATAAATGTTACATTATATCTAATAATGAAATCATACAGTAAATGTAACTTGATGGGGGAGAAGGGTGATTTTGAGGTTGATAACATCGAGCTTCTCTTCAAGTGTTATATCCTTTATTTTACGATCATCACCGGGAAATCTATCACCAGAACGCTTCTTGGAGATATTCTTCTTTACCATATTCACAGTTAATACCACAAAATTGGAGAAATAGTAAGCAAAAATCGCGTTATAGCAAACAAGCGTTCGCGTTATACAAATATCGTTCCTAATTCATAAATCGCGTTAGAGCAAATTCGCGTTATCAAAACACGCGTTATAGCAGAACTCACTGTACAGTAAATTAACCCCTACAGTACTGACCCCACTGATCGATGTAAGGACAGTCCTGGTTTTGTTTTCAAATTGTGCGGCTTTATTTGGCCAGGAATATAAAGTCTCGTGGCTAATAAATTGAAGAATTATTTGTGGTAACCGTGAGCCCACCACCCACAGGCCCCCCCCCCCTCCCCCACCCTCAGTATCTTCTTGAACCTGATGCTGCTCCACCTCCACGTGTCGCCCCCTCCCCTTTATCTATACTTTCATCTATACAGTGATCCCTCGGTTAACGAGATTTCGGTTAACGATTTACCTTCCATAAGATTCTTAACTTCGGTTAACGAGCAATCCCTCGATTAACGACTTTTTTACGAGCCGACTTCAACATGTTTTCGCTTGCATTTGGCAGTCCACCAGCTGTAGTATTAGTCCGCCAATACAGTAATCGGTTTTAGGGCTTAAATTCCTTACTATTTTAGTAAATATCAAGAAGTTTATACTATTCAATAATTTTAAAAGTTTAATATTAACTTTTTTAGTCATTTTAACAATTATTGAGCATAATTGAAGGTAAAGAAACTAGTTTCTGGCATGCCATCCAGCCTGTTAACACACCAGACAGGCGTTAGTCTCTCTTGTTTTCAGTGGAGGTAACATCTTGCTTGAGACTCTCTTCAACTAAACGCTTTTTTTCTGTGTTTCCAAGCAAATTATTGGTCATTTTGAAATATATTTTACATATTGACAATATATAATGCAGTGCAGTGTTGATTTAAAGAAAATAATCTTGAATTACACCAAGAGAACTAAAATTTAATGGGTGAAATGGTGCCATGGGGTGACTTCTCTTCCACCCCAATGCCTTCTCTTCTTCCTTCTCCTCCACCCCCATTCTAATTCCCATCATCATCATCATCATCATCCAGGAGCCTTCTACAAACACACCTCAAAGTAAGTGTACTTTTCTACCTTTTTTGTTGAATTTAGGCAATTTTCGGAGAGCTGGAACCAATTACCCAAAAACCCATTGAAACAATGGTTTCGGTTAACGAGCAACCTGCTGGAACGGATTGTGCTCGTTAACTGGGGGACCACTGTAATATTTTTTCATCGGTGTTTTACCAAATTAAGTGGTGTATCTTTGACACGGTGCTACATCACTTCAGTGGCCCACATAAGGACTTCACATTCCATTACATCGAAAAAAAAATATATTTGTTTTTTTTTTCGTCTTGGGGCGCTTTACGTACTCTAGGGGTTAAGTGTCGACCAATGATAAGCAATAGAGTTAACACAGATGTGAGTACAGTCAGTAATATGTTGAGAGAGAGAAAACTTTGGTCACTTTGTACAGGCTAAGAGATTGTTCCTTTACTCATGAGATCAATGGATGGAGTTTTCATTATTTTTTATTGATTTTTTTTAGGTGATCGTCTCGTACTTCCTCGCCTCTGTCAATAACGTCTCGAGGGAAGTGAAGCCGACGGTTTATTACAGTGATCGTCATTCGTGCCAAAACCCACAGTGGTGACTAAACACTGTAGCCATATTATTTGTGGGACTACAGCTCCTCCCCGACTTACGACGGGGTTAGGGACCCAAATCCAGGTCGTAAGTCGAAAATGGTTAAATAATACATAGATAATCTAAAATGGGTGTCTCTTTTTCTTCTCAGCACCACAAAACTCTCACTTTTAAGCTTGCCAGCCATTTTAAAGTGAATTACAAACGAAAATTTTGTCAGTACACAGCGCAAACACTAGCGTCGGGACTCGAAAATACGTAATTTGACAATTTTTTGGCACGACTGGGGCAGTCGTATGTCCGGGTGGTCATAAGTCGAGGAGTACCTGTATATGATATATATTAAATTCTGTACAACTTATGTTTCTTCGTATATAAATCACGATGTAGTACTAATCATAGCTATCACCCTATCCCGAATCTTGTTGAAACTAGACTGGCTACCACCCAATCCTGAAAAAATTCTTGAAACTGAACATGTTGACAGTGGACAAAATACAAAATAGCCGTTACAGTATTCAAGTGTCTCCTATAAGAGTCCCCTACCCACACCCCCCACCCTACTGGGACCCAATAGTAACTTACATGACGGTCGGTAAACACTCGCCACTGCAGAGCATATATTACTTGGGGGGGGGGGTATTAAATATCTTATATCTTCCCCCACCCGCCCACCTCCCCACCAAAAAAAAAAAATTCACCTCTTGAGTATTTGAATAAAATGTAACATAATAGAATAAATACATAAAATACAGTAGTCATATAAAGGTATAAACAGCCACGCCTCAGTACAATATTACAGTTAGCTGCCTCGTCGTCCATTGTAAATGAAGACATTCAGGTATAATGCCTCTTGAGATGTGAACATGAAATGCAAATCGTTATTTTTTTTACATTATACGCGGTTCTGATTTTTTTTTGATTGGTGTGTGTGGGAGCGTCGTTCATGGGGGCGGTAACAGAATGAGATGCCCTGGGGGTGGGGTGAACCTGACAGAATATAATGACAATGATGGATACAGTTCAGAGAGCTGACTGTTGTGTGATAAGTGTTTGCTTGTAACAGTTCAGAAAGGTAACTGTAATGGTTCAGAAAGTAATAATCATCATTTATAGTTCTAATAAGGGAGGTGGGGGGAAAAAAAATCATCAGAATATAATTGGTTTGTTGTAATTACGGAAAAACACAAATGGAATATGAGCTTCGTGGAAAAAAATATTGCACAACCGCTCTCGTTTTGCTCGATGAAGTGAAAGTATATAAAAAAATAAAATAAATGGAAAACGATGACAGCGATAAACAAGAATTAAATGGCTTCTACAGCACTAACACAATGACCCTGACCTAAAAGACCTATAATATTTTACATCGTGTCAATACCGTACCAAAATAAAACACAAGTACGTATTAAGGTATATGAAAGTATGGATACCTCATCAATATTCAGTGATTAATATTCTCTCTCAAACAAAACATCCACCACGAAACATATGAAATACATCTTCCAATCACAACTACGCCTCACTCCCCCAGGGCAATTTATGACCCTCTTGTATACAAAAATGTGACATAGTATATAATCTTATTTCCTGTTCATCAACAATCTGATATATGGCCAATGTCTACATGGCCTATGACTCATGGCCTATGACTTATGGCCTATGTTTTATGGCCAATGTTTACACTCCTAAAGCATCTAGAAATGCTTAAATAGCTAAAAGATGATTGGGGTACCTCTCACCTTATCAACGCTCGACTTCATTGTGCAAGATAACTCTCCATTATCTCTACCAAAAAAATCACACTGACAGGAGCTGAAGCCGTGTTCTTTTGTGCAGACCTAAAGCTGAATTTTTCATGAGGAAATCTGCGTTGTCAATTCCAATGTGGAATATATTATCTAAATCTTATCATAAAGGACAAAGATGCAGGTTCTTTACTGTATTGACTCTACAATCAGTTACAGACTTTGTCCGATACAGTACAAGAAGGGGTACAGCATGGATATGTATGGATATTAATACATACAAGATACATGTATTATTACAGCTACTCCCCGACTTACGACGGAAGTTAGGGACCCGAATCCAGGTCGTAAGTAGAAATGGTCCTAAGTCGGGGAGGAGCTGTATATGGTTCACTTCCATACCTCATGCTTCTCCCAATGACAGTCCTTATGCAAGGTGCTTACCACATTAATGAGGCACTGAGTTTGTCTTGACCCGACCCAGCAGCGACAGAACGGATATTTTTTCAAAGTTGTTGGGGTAGAGGGGAAGGAGGTGGGGGTTATTGGATGGGGGGGGCAGAGGGGAAGGGGGTGGGGGTTATTGGATGGGGGGGAGCAGCAGATACACAGAAGGACACTGAATGTAAGGTCAGGTTAGGTTAAGTTAGGTTTAGATTTAACTGCAAACGACAAACACATGGACAATGATATGGGTAGAGGGTGAGGAGGAGGTAGGAAGGTAGTGAAGGGTTAGTAACAGAGTGTAGTGTACAGGATATATATATATATTAGCAGCGTGTGTAGCATTTGAGCAAAGGTTTAGTGTACCATCGATCGAGTAAGATCTACGGAGGTAATTACTGGGAAAATAGAGAGAATCCAGCCAAATAAGAGAGGGTGTTAGATGAGGTGGAGGAAGGACCCAACTCCCTCGAGGAACCCCCCCCCATAACCCCCCATCCCCCCCCTCGTTCTGCCGCTACTGTACAGACAAATTTCTCCATACACAAACACACACACACATATACACATTACTTAATTAATAACAATGAATTATAAAACATACTTTGTAGCTGACCCCCCTCGTAATTCTCACACCGCCCACTGGCAAGAAGTCACAGGTAAACTTTGACATATATACTACTTATATACTAAGACTGTGAGATGCTGGGCTGACTGAGGAGTAATCTGAACCGTTCCCCAGCCGTGTCTTGTAGCACCTCGATGGATAACATTGACTCCTCGGTCATGTTTTGCACCACCTGAAATCAGACAAGACATTATAATCAAAGCCTTAGTGGTGAAATGACCTAAAAATCAGACATAAGGGTACACGTTACAATCTGTCGCTGGGATGCGTCGATAACCAGACGCGATTTTGAAATATTCTTGACGGGGAGTTACGCGTCCGGTTTGATTTTCGATGTGTGGCGACTCTCTTATGTGAGTGAACGGAGGCCAATTTTTTTACGCAGACACAGGGTTAATAACTATAGAGATTAGGATTTGAACTGAGAACTGATATTGGAACAGGCAGATCATAACTTATTTTTTTTTTTTTTTAAGGAAGACAATTCTTTCGTGAATCTAGGTCTGCCCGCACAACCCAACACAAACAACGGATGAAATTCGTGGGAGACTAACCTCGTCCGTGACCAGAATGTGGATCCCCGATGGTCCTTGTAAATACACGTCGTGGATGCGTTCCGGCGTGATCTGCATTAACGTGGACAACTTCCCCGTAAAGTCGACACAGGTGAGGTTCTCCAGGTACACCGCATGATAGAGCTGCTCGTGCTCCAGGCAGACGTACACAGTCAATCTCGGCACTACGTTCCTGAGGGAAGAAAGAGGTTCACGTCACGATATCATGAACAGCACTTCAACAACCGAGGTCGTTGAAGCACGTAGCATGATCAGTAACTCCAGCCCGTCAGCATTTAACATATTATCGGTGACTCAACTCTCAAAATTTCAACCAAAACTCAATTAGTTAAGTATCTTGAGAAGTTGGCTGTTGAAGAAATCTACAATACACATAATTATGACTCCGATGGGCCGAGACCTTTCTCCTCTACTCGTTACCGTAAGTCGATTGAAAACGCGACTTGATTCCTCCTGATAATCTGTGGCTCATATCATCCTTAATCATTCCACTTCCTGAAACATTCCACCATTCAAACTCAATCATCATATATTTTCACTCCCTCTCTTTATCTATTTTCTTTAATTTACTTATATTCACATCACTACTTTCAACCTTTTTCAAACATATGCTTCTTTCAAACACTGTACAGTCACTGAACTAACATGTATGTGAGTGTGTGAGTGAGTGTGTGTGTGTGTGTGTGAGTGTGTGTGTGTGTGTGTGTGTGTGTGTGTGTGTGAGTGTGTGTGTGTGTGTGTGTGTGTGTGTGTGTGTGTGTGTGTGTGTGTGTGTGTGTGTGTGTGTGTGTGTGTGTGTGTTCATCTCCAGTATCAATATTTATTTAAAACCCAACAGTGACTCTTTCCATCAGCCTGGCACTGACTCCTGCACTGCATGGAACCGACCAACCAAAGTGACGTTATGAAGCCTCGACGTAACGGTCCAAGAAGACAATGTGGACTCTCTCTCTCTCTCTCTCTCTCTCTCTCTCTCTCTCTCTCTCTCTCCACTAACCCACTAACACTAATACTTACTTGGCATGCAGGGCGTAAAAGAGTCGCAGACCATCGGCCAACCCAAGCATTTCTATGAGATCCGAGCGGGACAGTCTGAGAATATCCGTCCCCGAGAAATTGGAGAACATGCTGGTGTACTTGTTGAACCGATTGGCCATTAACCAAGCCATTGTCTGGGCCGTACTGCTGGAGGTGTTGAGAGGAACCCCGTGGTACTGCGGGGGGGAAGACGCAAAAGAGAAACATATTGGGACGCTGGGGTGGGAGGGGGGAGGAGAGGGGGGGGTATGATGTAGAACAGTAAACTAGTAGTAAGGTTAGTGGGTTTATCGTGTAGACTGTTTATACAAGAGCAGATAACACAGTGAGAATCATTTCTACTCTCAGCACCTTCTGGTCACTCTCTGCACTCATCTTCCATCGTCCTCCCTCACCTTCCCTCCGTTTTCTTTTGACATTTCGGTACAGGTGTGTTACAAGAGTCGTGCATCATAGGAAAGTTTATTTCTCCAAGGTACAGTATGCCTTCAAATTCGCGGGGGTTAGGTTCTCAAATTGGCCGCGAATAACATTTGGGAAAGATGGGGGAGGGGGTACATTTTTACTTGTGTACAATGAAATGTATATTCCCTTTATATGTTTACCCTTAGGACAATTATTTCTTTTACCTGTATATGTGTGTGTGTGCAGATACAGACACACAAATCACATACAAATAAATAATAATGGGGAAATATTCTCACTAATAATGAGAAACAAATTCAATAATAATGTGACAGTGTACCTTCAAGTCTGCGCTCTATTAATAAAGTACTATAATACAGCACAGACTTGAGGGTAGACTCAAAATTTTTAATAAATTTGTTTCTGATTCTTAGTGAGAGTAACTTAAATGCCAGTAACTTTAAAACAATAAGCAGACATTCTTGGGTACATCCCGGGTGTCATCCACGTATAACTGAGGATCGCGAAATAAAAATCCGTGAATTATCCGGGGAACTGTACTGTATATATCTCAAGTCACACAATATAGTAAAATGAGCATCCTTGTGTTTTTTCTTTCAGGCGAAGAATCAAAACAAATCAACGAAAACGACAGAGAAATAGACTCTTCTACGGTGTTCGACCCGCCAGACGTCTAGCTCCGGCGCGCGACCTTGCACGCTGCGACCGACCCCACACGAGAACGGGAGTTGACAGGAGATAAGAGACTGACACTGAATGATCTGGGAGTGCGGTAAGTAGGGGAAAAACAATCGGACTTATGACCCCGACGTGTATGTCCACCGTTCACGATCTCTCCCTCGAGTCCGACTTGTATTTCTTTATCTGCCTCATTCCCCGATCTGTCTAAATGAGGCGTTTTTATTGAGTAATCTACGGCAAAACACCGACTTATCCTGAAACGTTTAACAATGATAAATTTTCCCCTGTAAGAATTAATGTAAGTAGTGGTATAGGCAGGATAACACTCATACACCTCGAGACCTCAGGTTGTGTTCCTAGATTCATGGAAGAGAACACGATAAAGGAGTATATATGCGGTAGACACGGCGAGACCTCTGTTTAACGGACAATATGCAAGACGTCGCCCCATTATCAAATTTAATTCTAACGGATGTAAAAAGTTCGTCTGTTATATCGAGGTTTCACCGTACGATGACGACAACATCGCTAACGACGAACCAGAAAAATCCCGCTTACGAGACGTCAACAATAAACACCGATAGACAATGTTTCATGTGAGGTACAATTTAATACACCTATATGGAATGGTATTAATTTAGTACCTATGACAGCCACCAGGGACCACACACATAAACATACATAAGAGGATTAACGGCGTCACGTGGTCATTAGGTATCACAGCTTATTTTACCTTATGATTATCCACCCAACGCTAGGCTAACCTAACCTCCCCCCCACCCCAAGGTAGAGTTAAGTAGTTTAATTATGGTAAAATGCTAACCTAACCTAACCCTCTCTAGGCAGCATTAGGGTATTTAAACATACCAAAACCCTCGCCTAACCTAACCTACACCCCCCCCCCCTTTTAGTATAGCGTCCAGGCGTTTAACCACGGTGAAACAAGCAGCCGGCGACACACAACCTCCACGTGACGCTCTGATATAACAAGTTAAACGGATATTCATATTTACTTTGTGGGTGTTTAGTTTCCCCTTGAGAGAGAGGCCAGTGGGTATCTTAGCTATCTTGCTTACCGAAATATCTTGGTCTTCCCCATCTTCCCCGCACGGGCTGCCATTTTCCGACATGGTGCTCTTGGGTGCCTCGGAGATAACCGGGTCGCTTTTTCTGAAACGACTATCGATTAGTTAGCTGCATATTTTGATGGGCCCAGGAGATCACTGGGTTATTTACTCTGAAACGACGATAGATTAATTTCAAGGAAGGTTACTGTATATAAGAAGTAATTACCCATATAGTGAAATCTCTATATAATGGAGTTTTGTCTCTATACAGTTCAATTGATGGGAGGTTTCACATCTGACAGACCCTCGATATAATGGACTTTCATCTCCAAACAGCCCTTTAAATACAGGTTTCACAATATAAATTCTTACAATAGATACATATATAAAAACAAATGTATAACTAAAATAACAAATGTATATATATATATAAACTTTACATATAGGTGTTAAAAGTAGGAACAGAGGAATGTATATGGTGGACTGAAGAATTAAAACCTATCAGACTTAACATCATCAAGCTGCCTCACACAACACCTAGATACTGTCAGTGATGGAGAGTTAGTAACGTTATGGTGGAATTATGTGACGCTGAGTTCACTTAAGAGAATTAGCGACATCTACAGTATTAAAAAATTACAAAACACAGACACATTGACGTACCATAATCAATGTTTATGATTAAGATATACAAAAATAAAAATAACAATAACAATAATAAATAAAACCCAGGTTTGAAAATTACTCTCCTGGACGAATTCACATAAAGCATCTTCATCTATACGCTAAGAGGAGAGTACCTGGTGATAATAGTGGAGGAGTTTGTAAAATATAATGATGGGTTGGTTGGTTGGTTGGGTGTAGAGGTGGCAAAAAAAAAAACCCAGATCCCAGTGACCAGTGACCAACAACCTATCCCAGGTACATATATCCCAAGAATCAAATCCAAAAGACCCACATCCCAACAAAGGGTTCTACTGTTATAACCTCTCCTTCCACAAGACCAGCGAGCATAGGACCACAACGACTTACAACTCGTTAGATGGACTGTGGCCCCTGAGTGACAGGCTTTTAACTCCTGCGATGGGCGTCGCTATGGGGGACGAGGACTCGATCACTGGGACGTACACAGCCTCGGGGGACAACTGCGAAAAAAACAACAAAAACGAAACAAAATTAATGAGAATACAATGCCTGGGGGGAGTTGTACTGTAGAATAAAACCGATTAAATTACGCAACGTCACATCAATCGGAATACAGTACTGAAATCCTAACAAGACATTATACAGAAATGATAACGCTGTAGTGTGTTTGAACTGCAGCTTATTTACCATCGAGATACACAGAGCTCTCGTTTCTCCGTGTACAAGACGGGAAAGCCTCGGAAAATACTACCCCCAATGGTAAACACCAACACGCTCACCCTTCAGCTGAAACCAAGAGACTTTAGCATGTAAAAAAAAAATTAATGACTATAATGTTTATATTTCACTAAACATTTTCAATCACCTCACCAAAAATGTTGCCGTTCAAGCGTGATGTTTGTACTCACACCCAAACGCCGACCCTAAACACCTGTCAGAACTTTAACTGGATTTTACCCCCAAAACAACGACAAGGTCAATTGAGTTCCTCCCATCGATGGTGACGAACCAACCAATGGCGTCCAAATCAGATTCTTGTCTCAATATGAAGCCCGACTCATTCTCTACCCAATACAGCCGCCATTGGTCGCTTCGTCACTATCGGTGCTCCTCGACCATTCCCGTTAAAACGATGATTTATTATTGAGAGAGAATCTACGGCAGAAGGCGTGGATGACACCTCAAGTCTGCCAAAAGTTAAGTAGACAAATGAATAACACTAACCTTTGTATATTTTGTGATAAAGTAAGTAAAATATGGTTAAGTCAGGTTAGGTTTGGTTAGGTTAGGTAGGGTTAGGTTTGGTCTAGTTAGGTTGGGTTAGGTTAGGTTGGGTTAGGTTTGGTCTAGTTAGGTTGGGTTAGGCTTGGTCTAGTCAGGTTGGGTTAGGTCTAGTTAGGTTGGGTTAGGTTAGGTTGGGTTAGGTTTGGCCTAGTTAGGTTGGGTTAGGCTTGGTCTAGTTAGGTTGGGTTAGGTCTAGTTAGGTTGGGTTAGGTTAGGTTGGGTTAGGTTTGGTCTAGTTAGGTTGGGTTAGGTTTGGTTAGGTCAACATTACCTCAGTTAAAATGGTACATTCACAAGATGGCTGGTACTTTTCCTGCTCTGACATCGATCTTTTCATTATCTTTTCTCTGTCCTGCTTGTGTTTTCTGTCGGCCCCTTTGAGCTGCCGAGGAAAAACAAAACATTAAAATAACACATCACACGACGATCAGTCAACCCACGTCACCTATAGCCCCCACAGACAGGCAAGAACCGCAGACTTGACATTTTCCATCCATACACATCCTTCCGTCGGCAGCGTACGACCTCAGATGCTATGTCACTAGAGATGTAATTACCACAATGAACCCACTGAGCAAACATCATCAGCCGTCCACTTTGAAGATACAGCGGCACTTTTTTATAAACTTCGGAGGGGGAATGGGGGTATGGGGGGGGGGAGGGGGTAAGTGAACTGTACTCAATTCCCCGCAGTGTTGTAGGAGTTTAGAAGGGAGGAGGGGAGGGGAGGAGGGGAGGGGGCTTATCTCACCTGATGATTAGTACTCCCTAATGCTAATGTACTACCTTAGAGGGGGTTTAGTCTAGCTCAGGTTAAGTAATTCACGATTCTCACCGAAAAAAAAACAAAAACAATAAATCTCGGAGAAATTCAGTTTACAGGTATGACAAGGCTAGACGCACACACACAGAGAGACCCGGTAACAAAATGCGAATCTTACCTTAAATACTTTGATCTGACAAGCACAGACGTATAACCGTTCGAGTCCGGAGCTGGTTTGGTTGTATGTTTCCACCTGGGAGGAGAAGAGCCGTTAGTGGATTTCTCTTACGTCGGTGGTCGGATATATTATTACATGGTCATAGGAGAAGAGCCGTTAGTGGATTTCTCTTAAGTCGGTGGTCGGATATATTATTACATGGTCATAAGAGAAGAGCCGTTAGTGGATTTCTCTTAAGTCGGTGGTCGGATATATTATTACATGGTCATACAGCGAAACCTCCACATAATGGACTTTTATCTGTACTGTATAGTTCATTAAATGGAGACAGACAGAGACAGAGGAGCAGAACTAGACAGAGAAAGACAAAAAGATAGACAGAAATATAGAGACAGACAGAGGGGTAGAAATAGACAGAAAGACAACAAGATGGTGAAATGTAGACAGACAGACAGAGGGGTAGAAATAGACAGAAAGACAACAAGATAGACAGAGAAATATAGACAGACAGACAGAGGTAGAAATAGACAGAAAGACAACAAGATAGACAGAAATATAGACAAACAGACAGAGGGGGAGCAGACTCACCTGAATCACAGCAATTACCCTTCTGCGCCACCGTGTTTCTTGAGCGTGAACTCTGTGCTGATACAACAATTCACCTGAAGAGGAGTTAGAGGGGGTCAAAGGGTCTACAGAGAAATGATATATATAAAAAACCCACAACTGATGTGAGGATTAATGGAAACACTTAACCTAACACTAGTCTAACCTAAAGCAACAGCACTAGTCTAACCTAACCTAACACTAGTCTAACCTAGCTTAACTTAACACTAGTCTAACCTAACCTAACACTAGTCTAACCTAACTTAACACTAGTCTAACCTAACCTAACTTAACTTAACACTAGTCTAACCTAACTTAACTTAACACTAGTCTAACCTAACCTAACACTAGTCTAACCTAACCTAACACTAGTCTAGTCTAACCTAACCTGAACTAACTTAACACTAGTCTAACGTAACACTAACCTAACTTACTATAATACTAACCTAACCTAAACTGTCTATGGGTCCTTTAAAGAAACTCACAGATTAGACCAAATAAAATAATCTAATGATAACCTAACCTAATGCTAACCTAACCCAAAGTTAACCTAACCTATAATACTAATCTAATACAACCCAACCTAGTTATCAATGCAAGTATATACAATTCAGCATGTATAGAGATCAATGCCGGTACAGTATACATTTCAGCATGTATACAGGCAACACAGTCATACAGTACACACAGGCCACGGAGAATACGGTACAATATGCGGTTCAGGTATACGTACAGCAACAATAATAAACAATAACACGGACCTACCTTAATATAAACTCCAACTTCTTTCGTTGGGTCCCAATCGAACTCGCACATATTCAGGGAATTTGAATCTTGCTTGACGTCGAACACACCGTAGGAAAGAGGGATGTCGACCTGAAGGGGGAGAGGGAGAGAGGGAGAAATATATAAGACAGTCCGATATACCCCAGGATTAGTCACCTTCCCCCTCCCCCCAACCACACCTTATTTCACCTGATGGTTAAACACCGCCTTGCTGCCTGGGGGTTAGGTTTGGTTGGGTTGGGTTGGGTTAGGTTGGGTTGGGTAAGGGTTAGGTTAGGGTACTAATGATGGCACCATTTAAGGGCCAGAAACAACAAGAAAAGGCCTAAATAATAAGATACTAAAGGTCATTCCTACAGCAGATGTCCCTCACACATTGCATCTCCTACCAACATATCTTATTGGGTCACCTCTTCCTTCCTTCAGACACACGTTTTAATCACCCTCGTGTAATCAACGACCAAACGAGCTAGAGTTAACGATACCGAGTCAACACCACTGCCACACCATTACACCACACCACCACCACACTCACCTAAAGTATTCACTCCCACCACACCACACCACCACCACCACACTCACCTAAAGTATTCACCCCCACACCACACCACCACACTCACCTAAAGTATTCACTCCCACCACACCACACCACACCACACCACTCACCTCCAATATTCTTTCCCCAGGTCTCATCTGGCGCCAACTATCGAGCTGTTGTCTCTCCATGTACTGAAGTCGCCGCTCGTGGAAACAAACCCTAATGACACTATGGTACAGCTTCCCTTTACAACTGAAAAAAATAAACATTTACTCATTAATAACTAGTTTTTTTTGTTTTATTTTACACTCATCAATATATTCTTTACAGCTTTTATTAATTAACAACTATCACAGCCATCAAAACATTTAATATATTTGTGGGGGAGTTTAAAGGCAACATCTAGTATTTCCACTTTCCACCAGCACAAAGTTGCCATCATAATTATTATCACCATCACCACCATCATCAACAACATTTTACGGCCATTTTAGGTTCTTAACAGTAATGTCATTTCTCACAACCTCTCCCTATGTCCTCCTTGTCCTACCCCTGGCTCTCGTCCTACCCCTGGCTCTCCTACCCTCAATACATCTCAGGGTTGGTGGATCCAGGCCGAATAACTTACATCGCTCAAAAAATTGTCAACAATACATCGGTATCAAATAACTGACCTATCGGTAACTCATTGTGTGCGTTGACCTGCCCGGCCCACCAGCTTCTGACCGCAGCTGTCACTTACTGGTAGGTGTGACAAACTGTGCCCAAGGATGGGATAATATGACCTGAGCCTGGGGGGGGGTGATGCCTCAAGGGGAAATCCCAGGTGGAGCTGAAGTGATGTAAGTAAATATATGTGAGGTTATGTGTACAGTATAAGGAATGTTTGTTTGTGATGACTGTGTTAAACTTGTCAGGAGAGTTGGCTGTCTGGCATCCTCTTCCCTATTGTGGTGGCTGCCAGGACAGTGTTGCCTGTTGTGTTGTGTTCATCTGTGAGTGTTATGTCTCAACACTGTCTCAGAGATACTATATGATGGACCAGGATCATCTTGATAAACTTGCTCTAATCAATGTTCTGGTTCTGGCTAGGAACTTGATGGTTTCGGTGCATCCCTAATTAACAAAACTGTACTGCACTGTACTATACTGTACTGCACTAAACTGTATATACTGTATAAATTGTAGGTACAGTATATATACAGTCTAACTACATTTTCTTTTATGACAATATATAGGTTGAAAAGTCTGGCTAAACCTAGATTCATCCAAGTAAATACTAGTTAATTATTGATTACAGATAAGGTGCAGCTGGATGGGATGTCAAAATTACCTAGACTTCTTTAATCAGGTCCAGCAGCGACAACAACAACTTCAAGATCGCATCAGTCAAATCTGAGGTGTTGATCTTCCATCTCTTAGCACAACTAGTCTCCTCCATATACCTGAACCATCTCTCACCCAGCTACCCCCATGCCTTTAAAACATACCCCCCCCCCTCCCTGTCTATCAGTCCCACCTCACCCATCTCTCACCCAGCCACCCCCATGCCTTTAAACATACCCCCCCCCTGTCTATCAGTCCCACCTCACCCATCTCACACCCAGTACAGCAATTCATCCCAACTAAAATCCTGAAAGTTAAAAACCAACCATCACAACAGATCATGAACCAAGACATCTTACCTCGTCAGATCACCCAATTTTTTTACTTTGATCTCATAAGACTGCCCTTGGTTCAGGTAGGATAGGCTTTCCTCATTGACCTTGGTTGCTATGGATGTGGCAGCTCCCAATATATACTGGAACCTGGAAACAACAAGAGGGGGGTTTATATAGTTGATGGGTCTTGATCTGTCTTGGTTATCTTTCATACTGTAAGATGGTATGCATGGTATCTTGTTTGTCTCTCAACACACACACACATCCAAACACACCCCCCCAACACACACATTCAATGAAAGAAATGAAAGGGAAATAAACATCATAAAAGCATTCGTCTCCAGAAACTCAAGAGATGCATAACTAAACAGGTATTGCAGCCCAAAACACTTGTATATAGTAACACAATATTTCAGTATCTATTCTAAAGCTCCTGGGGTTTGTGTTGTATGTAATATATTCAGTGTGTTAACTTATGTATTACTGGTAACACAATCTAAACCAGAATAAATGTGATTTTTATGATGTGTATCTAAGTTCAAGACAAGACTCGAACCTGTTGTCTTCGTAGGACATGTTCTGTGGGGAGACAGAGACTGTCTCGAGGGCACCAACTGTGTTTGATGAGTGGACGGATGAGAGTGATGCGTGATGGCAGGACGCTAGGTTGGCCGACGAGGCGGTCTGGTTCACTCCGGGGTTGAGGTGCTGCTGCAGGAGTTGGTGGATGGTCGGCGCCGGACCGTCCGACAGGTTATCGTTACTCAGCAGCTTGAAGAGTCTGTCGGTCGTGTTGCTCTGTGACGATTCGTCGAACGTCGCCGGGGTGGACGAAGTGACGCTCTGTTTGTCCTGGTTTGGGGACACTGCCTCCTCCTTGAACTGTGACACGTTGGGCAGTGCCAACAGTGCCTCGCTCATGTTGTACGAGGCGGTGCTGATGTCCACCCCCAGGCCGGACAGGGAGTCGTCAAAATCCGCCGCGAGACCTTGGTCGATTTCGTCTGACTCCCAGTGTCTGTGATGACTGCTCTCCATGGATATAAAACCTGCAATGAATAACACCGGTTAGGTTAAGTGAAGTTAGCTTAGGTTAGGGACTAGATTAGGTTAGGTATACAGTGGTTCCTCGGTTAATGAACGCCTCGGTTCACGAAATTTCGGTTAACGAATTACCTTCCATAAGAATATTCAATTCGGTGAACTAAATTCTTACGAAATCATGTAAACATGTTTTCGCTTGCTCACAAGCTGGAATATTAGTCCGCCAATACAGTAATCGGTTCTAGGGCTTAAATTCGTTCCCATTTCAGTAAATATCAAGAAGGTTGTACTATTCAATAATTTTCCAAGTTTTATATTAAATTTTTTAGTCATTTTAACAATCATTTAACATAATTGAAGCACAGGAAACTAGTTTTTAGTGTGCCAAACAGCCACTCAACTCACCAAACAGGCATCAGTTTGTATCTCTGGTCAGTAGAGGTAACATCTTGCTTGAGACTCTCTTGAACATAAACTAATTTTACGTTTTTACAGTACAATTATTGGTCATTCTGAAATTTATTTAACATATTGACAATATATAGTGCAGTGCAGTGTTGATTTAAAGGAAATAATCTTGTATTACACCAAGTGACCTTGAAATTATACGGGTGAAATGGCGGCATGAAGCATGGGGTGATTTCTCTTCCACCCCCAGTTCCTTCTCTTCTCCTCCACCCCCACTTCTAATTCCCATCATCATCAACCAGGAGCCTTCTATATACACACACCTCAAAGTAAGTATAATTTACTGCATTTATTTTTACTTTGTATGTAATTTTCGGTGAGCTGAAACCAATTACCCAAAATCCCATTGAAACAAAATTTTCAGTTAACGAACGACCTTCTGGAACGAATTGTGTTCGTTAACCGAGGGACCACTGTACTGTAGTTAAGTGAAATAGGTTAGGTTAGCTTAAGGTAGAGTCAAGTTAGGTTAGATACATAATGCAGTAGAGGTGTGAAGACTGGGGAGAGGAGGAGGAGGAGGAGGAGGAGGAGGAGGAGGAGGAGGAGGGGAAGTAAAAAATAAATAAAATAAACCTCAAAAGAAAAGATCAAAAGCTAACCAACGGTAACTAAGTCTCAATCACCCTATGACTCATATATACAAGGACAGGCAGAGAGGATATTTATTACGAACACTAAACACACCCTGAGCTCGGGGCCATTCATTACCGTAAACTTACTCCCTGCAGTTAACACATGAATCAGGGGAGGATAAGGTGGGCCTTCCTCCTACCTGATAGCTCCGATTTTCCCCGATCTATTTAAATGCACCAATGAAATAATATACATAGTTTGAGAGGTTAGGGGAGAATATTCAACCCCCTTGAGCCACTCCTGAGGTGAATAAAATCTGGTGTTGGCCAAATGAAATATTAAAAATAGTATCCCTGTAGTAAGGAGGTTAATAGTGCATACTGGACTGAGAATCATGTAGCATGTTGAGTCAAGAAGTTGAAGAGGAACTCAGTGGGGTAAGGTCAAGAGGAACTCAGTGGGGTAAGGTCAAGAGGAACTCAGTGGGATAAGGTCAAGAGGAACTCAGTGGGGTAAGGTCAAGAGGAACTCAGTGGGTTAAGGTCAAGAGGAACTCAGTGGGGTAAGGTCAAGAGGAACTCAGTAGGGTAAGGACAAGAGGAACTCAGGGGTGTAAGGTCAAGAGGAACTCAGTGGGGTAAGGACAAGAGGAACTCAGTGGTTAAGGTCAAGAGGAACTCAGTGGGGTACAAGAGGAACTCAGTAGGTAAGGACAAGAGGAACTCAGGGTGTAAGGTCAAGGAACCCAGTGGGTAAGGACAAGAGGAACTCAGTGGGGTAAGGTCAAGAGGAACTCAGTGGGGTAAGGTCAAGAGGAACTCAGTGGGTTAAGGTCAAGAGGAACTCAGTGGGGTAAGGGAGGAACTCAGTAGGGTAAGGACAAGAGGAACTCAGGGGTGTAAGGTCAAGAGGAACTCAGTGTGGGGTAAGGACAAGAGGAACTCAGTGGGGTAAGGTCAAGAGGAACTCAGTGGGGTAAGGACAAGAGGAACTCAGTGGTGTAAGGACAAGAGGAACTCAGTGGGTAAGGTCAAGAGGAACTCAGTGGTGTAAGGACAAGAGGAACTCAGTGGGGTAAGGACAAGAGGAACTCAGTAAGGGAGGAACCTGTGGTGTAAGGACAAGAGGAACTCAGTGGGGTAAGGACAAGAGGAACTCAGTGGGGTAAGGACAAGAGGAACTCAGTGGGTAAGGTCAAGAGGAACTCAGTGGTGTAAGGTCAAGAGGAACTCAGTGGGTGTAAGGACAAGAGGAACTCAGTGGGTAAGGTCAAGAGGAACTCAGTGGTGTAAGGTCAAGAGGAACTCAGTGGGGTAAGGTCAAGAGGAACTCAGTGGTGTAAGGACAAGAGGAACTCAGTGGGGTAAGGACAAGAGGAACTCAGTGGGGTAAGGTCAAGAGAAACTCAGTGGTGTAAGGACAAGAGGAACTCAGTGGTGTAAGGTCAAGAGGAACTCAGTGGGGTAAGGACAAGAGGAACTCAGTGGGGTAAGGTCAAGAGGAACTCAGTGGTGTAAGGTCAAGAGGAACTCAGTGGTGTAAGGTCAAGAGGACTCCAGCACTACCCTAAGCCAAAACCAACGCTTGCGACATCTACCTTTTTTATTTGGCACTCCGATGCTCTTTATGGCTTCCTGCCAATCAGGGAAGACCCCCAGGCGGCGAGCATTGTTGTCATCCTCGTGAGCTTCAAGAGGGTCAAGGATACGCTTGCGAGTTCGGCCACTGCTGGCCTCGCCCGACCTGTTACCCCCCGAAGCTGGTTCCCCCATGCCAGTTTCTACCGGGCAACTGTCAAAATTCTGGAAAGAGAAGCACGGTACAGTTATTACAGGAGAAAGATCATTAACTGGCGACTGGTGATGGAGATGAAATCGGGGCCACCAACGACACCTTTTGTATTTTATGTCTTTGTGAATTACCTGATGATTAGCCATGTCCCGAGTGATCACCTGAAGATTATAACCCCCCCAAATGCTCACCTCATGATTAACCCCCAATTGTTCACCTGAAGATTAACCCCTTACAAGCGCTCACCTGGAGAAACGTAAGACATCACTGGCCGTTGCACTTGTTGACTTCAGGAAGGCTTTTGACCTTGTTGTTCACTGCACTGTTATCAACAGGGCCATTGCACTAGGGCTGCCCAACAACCTGGTCTCGTGGCTCACTGATTTCCTGAGTGAGCGTCGCCAGGCAGTCAGGTACCAGGGGTCTGTCTCCACATGCCAACACCTCACCTGCGGTGTTCCCCAGGGGACCATGATGGGACCACTGTGCTTCCTCATCCTGATCAACGACGGTGGAAGTACGTGGATGACTGCACTGTGGGGGTTACAGTGGACAACACCGCACCAGACTACTCATCGCTACAAGGCACCCTGGACAGGCTACAGGCATGGACTACGGAGAACAAGGTCACCATCAATCACACTAAAACAGAAGTCATGCACATCAATACCGCCACCACTCCAGTGCAAGCTCCAGCAGTCACAGTGGGTGTCCATCCACTCCAGCTGGTGCAGTCTGCCAAACTCCTGGGTGTTACCATAGACCACAAACTGGACTGGAAGGCCCATGTAAACAACACAATCAAGGCGGCCTTGTACCGACTCTACATGCTACGACGACTTAGGTCACTTGGGACACCCACGCCAGAGCTGAGGACCATCTACAGTGCCTTTATTCTCCCAAGATTAACGTATGCGTCACCAGCCTGGTCGTCTTCTCTCAACTCTACCCAACAACGTCGGCTAGAGAAGGTACAGATGAGGGCCAGCAGAATCATGCTCAGCGCAGACTACTCCGGCTACAACAACGCTCTCTCCACCCTGGAAATGCCATCCCTCAGTGACCTCCACCACCAAGCACTAGCAGGGTTTGGCAGTGGACTACTGCACCATCCTCGTTATCAACACCTCCTGCCACCGGCAGTCCCCCGCCACTGCAACAAAATTCAGCCCATAAGAGCCCGCACCGATAGATATAAGAACAGCACCATCCCATCTATTGTTAAAATAATAAACAGCTCCTGATTTATGTACTGTACAGCCCTGTAAATGTATTGAACCCATATCATTATGTCTAAATCACTTGGAAGTTTTTTTCAGCCACCGGCTGCAACTCTATTAATAAACCGTTTATTATTATTATTATTTACCTCACCCACATCAGGGCCTGGGGGGCGAAAATGTAATAAAAAATAACATATTAATAATAAAAATAATAATAATGATAATAATAATAATAAAGAACCATAAATAAATACAAAAATTAAAACAAATTCAATAGTGAGAAACAATATATGTATGTTATGTTGTAAGAGAAACAATTGAGACCCTGTGTGTAAATGAGGCAGAAAGTCAGATCATCGACTTGAGGAGAGAGATGGGGGGGGAGGGGGTCTAATCTTCAGGTGATACACAAAGATTAAAATTACGACTGGTCTTGTTCTTGGATGCATCGTTGCAATCAGAACACAGGTACACTAATCAAATTGAAATACTGTATCCTCCTTACCTGTACTATTCTGTAACCCAATACAGAATACAGCTACTCCCCGACTTACGACCTACTCGACTTACGACCAGCCGGACATACGACCGCCTCAGTAGTACCAAAATTTTGTCAAATTACATATTATCGAGTCCCAACGTCAGTGATTGCGCTGTGCACTGACAATATTTTCATTTGTAATTCACTTTAAAATGGCTGGCAAGCTTAAAAGTGAGAGTTTTGTGGTGCTGAGAAGAAAAAGAGACACCCATTTAAGATTTTCTATGTATTTAACCATTTTCGACTTACGGCCTGGATTTGGGTCCCTAACCCCGTCGTAAGTCGAGAAGGAACTGTACTCTGGGAAGTGTTAGGAGATATATTACAGTATTAAACAAATTACGAATCCTCTTCATTAGGCCTCATACCTCTCAATTTCTTCCTATAGGCTTTCTCGACGATCTTGCTGGACGGGTGTGGGTTCCAGACGAGAATTTGTAATTTATATGTTTTTGTTTTTCCCCGTCCCAAACTCGTCTACTCACTGGCTACCTCTCAGCGACGAAATTTTTTTTTCATTATTACGCCCCAGAGCACTTCATATCTCTCTCTCTCTCTCTCTCTCTCTCTCTCTCTCTCACAGTAACAACTTAATAACCTGCCTTACTGCTACATTATATAGTACAGGTAAAACACAGATACATCAGACTAACCTAACCTACCTAACCTAACCAAATCTAACCCAACCTAACCTAACCCAACCTAATACACTACGGTCCTATTAAACATCGACTCGTCATAAACAACAACTCAAGGAAACAATTCGCAGGTAACGGAAGAATCTCTCTTTATGTACCGAGAATCATAATATAAAATAACAGAAGGAATTGGAACTCACGTACTTTTGTTTTTATTATTAGCCATTGTTAAGGATGTAGTCAGAGCACGCAACGATGCCACGAGTGTTTCTATTGACGAACGATTCCCGGAGACCTTTCTATACCTTGGCTACCCGGGTGATGCTCAATGAAGGTTGTCTGGCCTTAGTTGGTACCGGACGAAGACTTTCCACCGAAGATAAATTGCGTTTTATTAAGAGAAACCGATGAAAACTGCAGGAAGAATTAATTTTGAGTCACTATATAAATTTTGGTCATTCTTGTATTTAGATACCTAACCTAACCTAACCTAACCTAACCTAAACTAAACTAGATCAGCCGCGTCGACGTAGATTAACATTCAAAATAAAATAAACTAAAAAGACAAATTATCACAAAAGTTCCCCAAAAATCTCACTTTTTTTTTTTTTTAATATTTTATAAACAAGAAAATTTTGAGTAAAATTCCTTTAAAAATATTTAGTTACCATGACGACCCTAAACAACATAACACTTAAGAAACGACCCTAAAAATGGGCCCTTTAAAACAAACCCTTAAAACAAACCCTTAAAACAAAACCTTAAAACAAAACCCCAAAAAAGGCTCCCCCAAAATACCCGAAACCCTAACCACAAATTAAAAAAAAAACCTAAAAAAAAAAACCTAAACCACCCAATTCAAACCACCATAAACCCATAACCAAGACAACTAAAATAAAACAAAATATTACACACAAGTAGGAAATATTTTTTAACATAAGAGAAAAATACCCCGTGTGTTATATCGTCTCCTAAAACCCATTAAAAATAACCTGACATTCGTATTTAAAGTGATAGATGATGGTGTTAGTGTTGATTGATCTCATAGGAAGGTTAATTAGGTGTTAATGGTCTTACCTTTAAAGAAATCTTGAAAAAGGATAAAAAAATGTGGCAAGGAACTGTGTCTCTCAATGTCCTTAAGAAATACACTGATGCTATGTTCCAATATTCCTTCATAACTCTACCATCACAACTAAATTATTTTATTTTATATAATTTAAAACATATAATTATAATTTATATATCAATTATTTATATATATATTAATATTATCTTAGTAATTAGTGTCATAAATTACGATATAAATAACCAAGAGATGTTTTTTATAAGATATTGTTGGTTGATTGTGATTATAAGGAATAACAATTACAGTATATGTAGACAAAATAAAATATTTCCTTTATCTAAAATACATAAAAAAATACAACAATTAAATCTTTATGTATTACTTAAATATATAATTTTTCTTTACATGTATACAGAAAAAAACTTCAGTTATTGTCGTTATTCATAAGTCCATATATAAAGCTTTATGTTCTCTCTATTTGCATATTCTCTCTTTATTCTCTCTTTTACGCCTTAATTTATCATTTTATATCTATCTAAATATTTATCAAGATTTTTTTATCATTCTTTATAATTCTTATCACTGCAACCTGAAGATTAGACACCCCAGCTTAGTTCACCTGAAGATTAGACACCCCAGCTTAGTTCACCTGAAGATTAGACACCCCAGCTTAGTTCACCTGAAGATTAGACACCCCAGCAGTTCACCTGTAGATTAGACACCCCAGCTTAGTTCACCTGTAGATTAGACACCCAGCTTAGTTCACCTGAAGATTAGACACCCAGCTTATTTCACCTGAGATTAGACACCCAGCTTAGGACCCCAGCTTAGTTCACCTGTAGATTAGACACCCCAGCTTAGTTCACCTGAAGATTAGACACCCGGTTCTTTACCAGATTAGACACCCCAGCTTAGTTCACCTGAAGATTAGACACCCCAGCTTAGTTCACCTGTAGATTAGACACCCCAGCTTAGTTCACCTGAAGATTAGACACCCAGCTTAGTTCACCTGTAGATTAGACACAGCTTAGTTCACCTGTAGATTAGACACCCCAGCTTAGTTCACCTGTAGATTAGACACCCCAGCTTAGTTCACCTGTAGATTAGACACCCCAGCTTAGTTCACCTGTAGATTAGACACCCCAGCTAGAATTCACCTGTAGATTAGACACCCCAGCTAGTTCACCTAAGATTAGACACCCAGCTTAGTTCACCTAGATTAATGTTCACCTAGATTAGACACCCCAGCTATTCACCTGAAGATTAGACACCCCAGCTTAGTTCACTGTAGATTAGACACCCAGCTTGGTTCACCTGGTTAGACACCATTTTCCTGAGATTAGACACTGCTTAGTTCACCTGAAGTTAGACACAGCTAGTTCACCTATGAACTGAGTCATAGATTAGACACCCCAGCTTATTTTACCTGTAAGTTAGACACTGACTTAGTTCACCTGTAGATTAGACACCCAGCTTAGTTCACCTGTAGATTAGACACCCACAGTTCACCTGAGAACTAGCTTATTCACCTGTAGATTAGACACCCCAGCTTAGTTCACCTAAGATTAGACACAGCTTAGTTCACCTGTAGATTAGACACAGCTTATTTACCTGTAGATTAGACACCCAGCTTAGTTCACCTGTGAATTAGACACCCAGCTTATTTACCAGATTAGACACGCTTAGTTCACCTGAATTGACAGCATATTTCACCTGTAGATTAGACACAGCTTAGTTCACCTGTAGATTAGACACCCCAAATTTTACCTGTAAGATTAGACACCCAGCAGTTCACCTGTAGATTAGACACCCCAGCTTATTTCACTAGATTAGACCTATTCACCTGTAGATTAGACACGCTTATTTCACCTGAAGATTAGACACCCCAGCTTAGTTCACCTGTAGATTAGACACCCCAGCTTATTTCACCAGATTAGACACCCCAGCTTAGTTCACCTGTAGATTAGACACCCCAGCTTATTTCACCTGTAGATTAGACACCCAGCTTAGTTCACCTGAAGATTAGACACCCCAGCTTAGTTCACCTGAATTAGACACCCCAGCTTAGTTCACCTGTGATTAAACACCCAGCTTAGTTCACTGAAATTAGACACCCCAGCTTAGTTCACCTGTAGATTAGACACCCCAGCTTAGTTCACCTGTAAATTAGACACCCCAGCAGTTCACCTGTGATTAGACACCCCAGCTTAGTTCACCTGTAGATTAGACACCCAGCTTATTTCACCTGTAGATTAGACACCCCAGCTTAGTTCACCTGTAGATTAGACACCCCAGCTTATTTTACCTGAAGATTAGACACCCCAGCTTAGTTCACCTGTAGATTAGACACAGCTTATTTCACCTGTAGATTAGACACCAGCTTAATTACCTGTAGATTAACCCCAGCTTTATTTACCTGTAGATTAGACACCAGTTCACCTGTAGATTAGAACACCCCAGCTTAGTTCACCTGTAGATTAGACACCCCAGCTTAATTCACCTGTAGATTAGACACCCAGCTTATTTCACCTGAAGATTAGACACCCACTTGTTCACCTGTGATTAGACACACAACTACCTGAAGATTAGACACCCAGCTTAGTTCACCTGTAGATTAGACACCCCAGCTTAGTTCACATGTAGATTAGACACCTAACTTAGTTCACCTGTAGATTAGACACCCCAGCTTAGTTCACCTGAATTAGACACCCCAGCTTATTTCACCTGTAAGTTAGACACAGCTTATTTCACCGTGATTAGACACCCCAGCTTAGTTCACCTGAAGATTAGACACCCCAGCTTAGTTCACCTGATTAGACACCCCAGCTTAGTTCACATAGATTAGACACCCCAGCTTAATTCACCTGTAGATTAGACACCCAGCTTAATTCACCTGTAGATTAAACAACCCAGCTTAGTTCACCTGTAGATTAGACACCCCAGCTTAGTTCACCTGAAGATTAGACACCCCAGCTTATTTCACTGAAGATTAAACACTTAGTTCACCTGTAGATTAGACACCCCAGCAGTTCACCTGAAGATTAGACACCCAGCTTAGTTCACCTGTAGATTAGACACCCCAGCAGTTCACCTGTAGATTAGACACCCAGCTTAGTTCACCTGTAGATTAGACACCCCAGCTAAGTTCACTGAAGATTAGACACCCCAGCTTAGTTCACCTATAGATTAGACACCCCAGCTTGTTACCTGTAGATTAGACACCCCAGCCTTAGTTCACCTGAGATTAGACACCCCAGCTTAGTTCACCTGAAGATTAGACACCCTAGTTTAGTTCACCTGTAGATTAGACACCCCAGCTTAGTTCACCTGTAGATTAGACACCCCAGCTTATTCACCTGTAGATTAGACACCCCAGCTTAGTCACCTGAAGATTAGACACGCATTCACTAATTAACACCCCAGCTTATTCACCTGAGATTAACACCCAACGATTCACCTGTAGATTAGACACCCAGCTTAGTTCACCTGTAGATTAGACACCCCAGCTTAGTCCACCTGAATTAGACACCCCAGCAGTTCACTGTGAATAGACACCCAGCTTAGTTCCTTAGATTAGACACCAGCTTAGTCCACCTGAAGATTAGACACCCCTAACACGAACGTAATAACCCAATCTAACCTCACCTAACCACCTATAGATTAATCCAAAGCTTATTTAACACCCAAGATTAACCACCTAACAACCGCCTAAAGCATTTAACACCCAAGATTAACCACTAACATTAACCTTAAGCATTTAACACCCAAGATTAACCACCCCTAACATTAACCTTAAGCTTATTTAACACCCAAGATTAACCACCCCTATACATTAACAATCATTCTGAAACACGATAACAACCTCACCTTCCAATATAACATTAAAAGATACCATAAGGGTAAGGTTGTTGGGTATTAGTAATTGGATCTGGGGAGGCTGGAACTGTTCTTAAATTCCTCCTCTCGTCTGAAGTTCCATCGACTGAGTCCATTGATGTCTCCTCTATCGGCTGCTGAGTACAAGGTTGGGTTAGTCCACTTCCATTTGGTACTCGTTCACTTGAAACTCTTAAAAAATGGTATATAAGAGGATTTGAACCCTTGTAGTATTGATAAAGAGGATTTAAACCCTTGTAGTATTGATAAAAGAGATTTGAACCCTTGTAGTATTGATAAAAGAGATTTGAACCCTTGTAGTATTGATAAAAGATTTGAACCCTTGTAGTATTATAAGAGTTTGACCTTGTAGTATTGATAGAGGATTTGAACCCTTGTAGTATTGATATAAAGGATTTGAACCCTTGTGGTATTAATAAGAGGATTTGAACCTGTAGTATTGATAAAAGTTTGAACCCTTGTAGTATTGATAAAAGAGGATTTAAACCCTTGTAGTATTAATAAGAGGATTTGAACCTTGTAGTATTGATGAGGATTTGAACCCTTAGTAGTATTAATAAGAGGATTTGAACCCTTGTAGTATTGATAAAAGGATTTGAACCTTGTAGTATTGATGAGGTTTACCTTAGTATGATAAGAGGATTTGAACCTTGTAGTATTAATAAAGAGTTGAACCCTTGTAGTATTAATAAGAATTTGAACCCTTGTAGTATTAATAAGAGGATTTGAACCCTTAGTATTGATAAGAGTTTGAACCGTAGTATTAATAAAAGGTTTGAACCCTTGTAGTAATATAGAGGATTTGAACCCTTGTAGTATTAATAAGAGATTTGAACCCTTGTAGTATTAATAAGAGGATTTAAACCCTTGTAGTATTAATAAGAGGATTTAAACCCTTGTAGTATTAATAAGAGGATTTGAACCCTTGTAGTATTAATAAGAGTTGAACCCTTGTAGTAATAATAAGAGGATTTGAACCTTGTAGTATTATAAGAGGATTTAAACCCTTGTAGTATTAATAAGAGTTTAAACCCTTGTAGTAGTAATAAGAGGATTTGAACCCTTGTAGTATTAATAAGAGGATTTGAACCCTTGTAGTATTAATAAGAGGATTTGAACCCCTGTAGTATTGATATAAAAGTTCTAGAAATTGAACCTCTTTAATAGATCATTGAGCTCTATTTAAAAGCTCTATCATAACAGGATGGAAAATTTTATATAAGTTGTATTAGACAAAAGATATTAAACAAACACACATATACACCTGTACACACCTGAACACACACACACACACACCTGTACACACACACACACCTGTACACACACACACACACACCTGTACACACACACACTGTACACACACACACACAAACACCACACATACACCTGTTTCTATATATGCATAGGCCAGGTGTTATGTCAATATTCTCGTATAAATAAAGACCTTTGGCCCACAGCTGAGAAACAAATGAATTGAAAAAACAATGATGTAGAAATTAATAATAAGAATAGGGAATAATTTAGAGAATAATAGAGGAGAAGATAGAGGATATGTTGAAATTGCACATTGTGACAGTGAAGTATTAAGACAATAAGTGAAATATCAACACATACTTGTTCTTATTACTTTACTTATTTATTCTAAACACATAGATACACTAAACTGTAATACCAATGTAACAATAAAATTTACACTTACAATTAAACAAGAATTCACTTTTTATGACCTGGAAATGAATGTATACCTGTACTGTCTAGGTATGTTGTTTGTATACCTGTACTGTCTAGGTATATTGTTTGTATCAAATACACTTTATCTATAATATATATATATAGCAAGTAAATCACTGTAGGTGCGCGTGGTCAGAGTATCTGCTGATCACAAGGAAAGAAAAACACGAAGTTCCCAAGCGCTTGTAACTAGACTTAAACAACATAAATACAGTGTTAGGACAGGCCAGGAATCAATGCTCTGTTTGTTCATTTGAGGGATAACAAGCATTGCATTGACTGGGATAATGCCTCCTCAATATTACCTTGTAATTCAATTGATAGTAGGAACATTATAGAATCTAATTGGTGACAGTTTCTACACCTTAAACACAGGGTCATGAGCTTGTTAACTCAGGGTTTGGTTGTTGTGCTGGCGATAGCTTCTATATATTCAAGTAAGTGCTTCCCCATCTGTCACCCGTCTGGTCCCAGATATGCCAGGGACTGTCAGTTGATTGAAAATGTCCAAGGAGGGCCCCAGACTGGTGCCTGCCTCCGGCACCTCAACTACCCTGAGAGATTAGAGCGCCTGCAACTGCCCAGCTTATACTACAGACGGGCAAGGGGACCTAGTTGAGGTGTATAAACATCTCAAAGGCACTACTCGGTCGAGTGTCCTGACCTGGGCGGACGCTCGCCACAAGTCACGGCTCAAGGTTGAAGAAGCCACAAGTCCAGAAGAAAACTGAGGGCAAACTTTTCCAGGTAGAATTGTGAACTGTTGGAACAACCTGCCAGAGAGTGTTGTGACGGCACCGAGTGTGAGCTGTTTCAAGACCAGACTTACCAACACTGGAGCAGGTTCAGGTACATTCAGGAGCCAGTACATGCCCAGTACTTGTCACCGGTGAACATAGAGCCAGCACATGCAGTATCTGCCAACAGTGTGTAACAGAGAGCCAACATGCCCAGTATCTGCCAACAGTGTGTAACAGAGAGCCAGTACATGCCCAGTACTTGTCAACAGTGTGTAACAGAGAGAGCAAGCATGCGTATCTGCCAACAGTGTGTAACAGAGAGCCAATGCCAATACTGTCAACAGTGTGTAACAGAGAGCCAGTACATGCAGTACTTGTCAACAGTGTGTAACAGAGAGCCAGTACATACTTGTCAACAGTGTGTAACAGAGAGCCAGCACATGCCCAGTATCTGCCAACAGTGTGTAACAGAGGCAGCACATGCCCAGTACTTGCCAGCAGAGTGTAACAGAGAAGCCAGTACATGCCCAGTACTTGTCAACAGGTGTGTAACAGAGAGCCAGTACATGCCCAGTACTTGTCAGCAGTGTGTAACAGAGAGCCAATACATGCCCAGTACTTGTCAACAGTGTGTAACAGAGAGCCAGCACATGCCCAGTATCTGTGTGTAACAGAGAAGCACATGCCCAGTATCTGCCAACAGTGTGTAACAGAGAGCCAGTACATGCCCAATACTTGTCAACAGTGTGTAACAAAGCCAGCACATGCCAGTATCTGCCAACAGTGTGTAACAAGAGCCAGTACATGCAGTACTTGTCAACAGTGTGTAACAGAGGCCAGCCATGCCCAGTATCTGCCAACAGTGTGTAACAGAGCCAGTACATGCCCAGTGCCAACAGTGTGTAACAGAGAACCAGTACATGCCCAGTACTTGCCAACAGTGTGTAACAGAGAGCCAGTACATGCCCAGTACTTGTCAACAGTGTGTAACAGAGAGCCAGTACATGCCCAGTACTTGTCAACAGTGTGTAACAGAGAGCCAGTACATGCCCAGTACTTGTCAACAATTATGTGTAGAGAGCTATTCCAGTACTTGCCAACAGTGTGTAACAGAAGCCAGCATGCCCAGTACTTGCAACAGTGTGTAACAAGAGCCAGCACATGCCCAGTACTTACCAGCAGAGTGTAACAGAGACGTGACCGGCCGCTCAAATAGGTAACAGACCGATCAGTGGTGAAGATTATAAAGTAGGTAAACTAATATAAACTAAAAATAAAAATAACATACACTATACCTCTGTAGAACGAAGGACTGTTCATCTCTAGCGCACCGTTGCCTCTACACCTGCGAATGAAGAGCGAGAGGAGAGGTGCACTAAGACTAAAAGACAACATGTGTAAAAAGCAGTAACAAGTGTTTATGCTTTGTGTGGGGGTTAAGAACCCAAGTGTTAATATTAAAACACCATAGACTTTATATTACGCTGGGATAGAAAGATAAATTGACTCTGGCCATTAACACAAAGTGAGGTAGATGAATGATAATTATAAAGATGGAAATGCAGTGTATGTATGTAACGTTGCATAGATATATATTATTATTGTTATAATTATTATTATTAGTTGGTGGTATAAACAGTGGCTCGTGTTCATTCCAATTAATTACCGTGCTGATTATACACACTTGTTTTTCCTTTCAAGTCTGATATCTTTTTCTTTGTTTATATAACGGGGATTAAACCCAGGCTAATATTTGCCAACAGTGTGTAACAGAGAACCAGTACATGCCCAGTACTTGCCAACAGTGTGTAACAGAGAACCAGTACATGCCCAGTACTTGCCAACAGTGTGTAACAGAGAACCAGTATGCCCAGTACTTGCCAACAGTGTGTAACAGAGAACCAGTACATGTCCAGTACTTGCCAACAGTGTGTAACAGAGAACCAGTACATGCCCAGTACTTGCCAACAGTGTGTAACAGAGAACCAGTACATGCCAGTACTTGCCAATTAATGTAACAGAGCCAGTACATCAATTGCTTCCAACAGTGTGTAACAGAGAATCAGTACATGTCAGTACTTGCCAACAGTGTGTAACAGAGAACCAGTACATGCCCAGTACTTGCCAACAGTGTGTAACAGAGCCATTTGCAGACCAACAGTGACAGAGCAGTACATGGTACTTGCAACAATTGTGTAACAGAGAGCCAGTACAGCAGTACTTGCCAACAGTGTGTAACAGAGCCATTACATGCCCAGTACTGCAACAGTGTGTAACAGAGAACCATTACATGCCCAGTACTTGCCAACAGTGTGTAACAGAGAACCATTACATGCAGTACTTGCCAACAGTGTGTAACGAGAGAGCCAGTACTTGCAGTACTTGCCAACAGTGTGTAACAGAGACGTGACCGATCATCCAAGTGCTAACATTACCCATCAGTGGTGAAGAGAATAAAGTAAAAGTTTAGTGTTAAAAGAAATTTACTATAATTCAGGTTAAAGACGTGAGCCAGGTGTTACGTTCTCAATAAATTATACTATGATGGTTAATAGAGGTGAACGAGCATCGTAAAAAATATTTTCCTAAAACTTGATAATTTTAACGTTACCCAAGTATAACTAACGGGTCGTACCATCAATGAACGAAGTGTTGTGGTGAAATGGATATAACTCGCTCTCTTTGTTCAAGGGTCAGTGGTTCGATTCGTGTAGCTTCCAGTTCACTCAGCTATATATATATACTGTGTCTAATGGCCACTCATGTCTACTGTCATGTCTACTGCTTCTTATCATGCTTTCCTCACTCCCACTGTCACGCCCACTGTCATCTACTGTCACGTCTACTATCACGTCTACTGTCATGTCTACTATCCCGTCTACTGTCACGTCTACTATCGTCTCTACTGTCATGTCTACTATCACGTCTACTGTCATGTCTACTGTCACGTCTACTGTCGTCTACTATCACGTCTACTGTCATGTCTACTGTACGTCTACTATCATGTCTACTCTCATGTCTACTATCGTCTCTACCTCCGTCTACTGTCACGTCTACTCGTCTACTGTCATATCCACTGTCATATCTACTGTCATATCTAACATCATTCATGACAGTTAATGTTGTCGACAAATTACAAGTGAACGTACCTCTGTAGTGTACACAGTGGACAGTACCCTGTAGGTGTACCAAGTAGACAGTACCTCCTATGAGTGTACACAAGTAGACAGTACCTCCTGGAGTGCACAGTAGACATACCTCCAGTGTACACAAGTAGACATTACCTCCTGGAGGTGTACACAAGTAGACAATACCTCCTGTGGGTGTACACAGTAGACAGTACCTCCTGTAGGTGTACACAAAGTAGACAGTACCTCCTGTGGGGTGACACAAGTAGACAGTACCTCCTGTAGGTGTCCACAAGTAGACAGTACCTCCTGTGGAAGTGTACACACAAGTGAACAGTACCTCCTGTAGGTGTACACAAGTAGACAGTACCTCCGTAGGTGTACACAAGTAGACAGTACCTCCTGTAGGTGTGCACACAAGTGGAGCAAGTACCTCCTGTGTAGGTGTACACAAGTAGACAGTACCTCCTGGACACAAGTGAAACCTCCTGTAGGTGTGCACAGTGGACATACCTCCTGTAGAGTGCACGTAGACAGTCCTCCTGTGGGTGTACACAAGTAGACAGTACTCCTGTAGGTGTCCACAAGTAGACAGTACCTCCTGTAGGTGTACACAAGTAGACAGTACCTCCTGTAGGTGTACACAAGTAGACAGTACCTCCTGTAGGTGTACACAAGTAGCAAAGTACCTCCTGTAGGTGTACACAAGTAGACAGTACCTCCTGTAGGTGTACACAAGTAGGCAAGTACCTCCTGTAGGTGTACACAAGTAGACAGTACCTCTGTATAGGTGTCCACAATGAGGCAGTACCTCCTGTAGGTGTACACAAGTAGACAGTACCTCTGTAGGTGTACACAAGTAGACAAGTACCTCCTGTAGGTGTACACAAGTAGACAGTACTCCTGTAGGTGTACACAAGTAGACAGTACCTCCGTAGGTGACACAAGTAGACAGTACCTCCTGTGGGTGTACACAAGTGAACAGTACCTCCTGTAGGTGTGCACACAAGTAGACAATGCACTCCTGTAGGTGTGCACAAGTAGACAGTACCTCCTGTGGTGTATACAAGTAGACAGTACCTCCTGTAGGTGTACACAAGTAGACAGTACCTCCTGTAGGTGCACACAAATGAACAGACCTCCTGTAGGTGACAAGTGACAAGTACCTCCTGTGGGGTGTACACAAGTAGACAGTACCTCCTGTAGGTGTACACAAGTAGACAGTACCTCCTGTGGGTGTACACAATGGAACAGACCTCCTGTAGATGTAGACAAATAGATGGTTCCTCTCTCATAAGTGTATGCAACCAATACACAGATCCTGAAGTAGGTGTAGACAGGCCTTGTGGTGTAAACAATTGGTGGGGCGTGACAACATAAACACACTGTCCCATGTTCGTTTCCCACCATTGAGGACTTGTTAGTGTTGAGTCTTACCAAATATATAATTAACTCAAGTTCCAATTTTTTACCCACAAACACCTTTTAACACCCACAAACACAACACCTTTTCCAACACTTTTTCACTTTCCATCATTTTTTAACATTTCCCAACACTTTCAATACTTTAAGTCCGTTATATGGAGAGAAGTCCGTTATATGGAAAAAAGTCCGTTATAGGAGGAAAATGTCCGTTATATAGGTAGAAGTCTGTTATATGGAGAGAAAAGTCCGTTATAAGAGGAAAAGTCCGTTATATGGAGAAATGTCCGTTATATGGAGGTAGAAGTCTGTTATATGGAGGAAAAGTCCGTTATAAAGAGGAAAAGTCCGTTATATGGAAATGTCGGTATATGGAGAGAATCCACGTTATAAGAATATCCGTTATATGGAGGAAAAGTCCGTTATAAGAGGAGAAGTCCATTATATGGAGAAATATATGGAGGAGAAGTCCGTTATATAGAGGGCTTCATTATGCGCTGAGGGAGCTGGTATACACGAATGATTACGAAGACTGGAAGTACTAACAAGGGAACAAGAGGTGTGTGGTGGTGGTAGGGCCGGTAACTGCTGGATACTCCGACTTCTCCGCCGTGGAGGCTGGTAATGGGTGTGTGTGTGTGTGTGTGTGGAGGTGTGGCGGGTGTGTGTGTGTGTGTGTGTGTGTGTGGTAATGGATTTGATTTTTATTTTGCCGCTTGTAGCCTACTTTAATGTGCACCCACTCATCCTGTGAGCAGTAGCGCAAAAGGATTACAGAGTAGGGTTTACAAAGGGTCATAATAATTAACCCCGGTTGTCAGGATATTATGGCACCAAAGTTACACAGTTTTCATTTACATTATTTGTTTAGTTCTATACATAAAACTTATTCACAACTGCGTGAGAACAGGCGTAATGAGGCAGTATGTCTGGCTCACACTTTGTTATTCACATTTACGTGGAGGTATTCAAACATTGTGTGTTTGGTTCTGTACATGAGAACTGATATAGTTACTGAGTGCAAAAAGTGGACACAATCTTAATATGTCGGCTATCTTGCCATTAGAGATGAAGTGTTGTGCCATTTCACACACAGTGTGCTTGGACCTGTCCTAAAGGTTCTAACTTCACACAGTCGAGGACGTAGTGTTCAGAGTGTGTGGCCATATGTATGGCCACACACTTTACATTAGTTTTGTTTACATCTGTGAGGAACATACTGCCAGAAGTACTTATATCCTAACCTTAATCTAGCGGTTACAACATCTTGTAATCTAGTGATCTTGTTACTTGCTCCCATACATGTTCATGATACATCTCATCATAGTAAACTATGGATCGACTAGTGCCTGTTTGCACTTGTCTACTTGCGTCAAACTCATCAATAAGTTCTCTCCTAATTACAGTTTTAAGGGTTCTTTTTGACAGACCCAAATTGTATTCCACGGTGTCTTTTTAGACGCGAGTTTGCGAGGGCATCAACTCTGTCATGTTTTATGAGGGCCTATGTGAGAGGGATCCACAACAGTTTGACCTTGACACCCGGTCAACAGGCACGCATATTTGTGTCTGGCTTCAGAGACAAGATCATGACAACCTGAGTCGAGGTGGCAAGGGCAAGTAGTGAGATAGAGAGTCAGTGATGATGAGACTGTGCAGTAACAGTGGTTTCCAATGAATTTAATAGCTGTGAGTATGGCAACTAATTCAGTTTGTAGAGTGGATGCAGTTGTTAATTCTACTCCTTTCTCAATTATATTACCGTCAGGTTGAGTCCAACAATAGCACTTCCAGCCCCCCCACAGGC